CGAGCATTTTGCTCTATGTACACCTGCAAAAAGCATTCGATTGAGTCAGATTATACGGTTGATCCACGCAAGCGCCATAAGAGCGTGTTTAATCATTCATTGATAAATCGAAAACATTTTGAACGAAAAATCGAAAAAACGTGAGTGTGAAAAGGAAAAAAATCCATCACAAGTATAGCAAGTGTGCGAAATTGCATGAAATTCTTGCAAAATTACATGAAAACATAGTATACTCGTATTACAAATACAGAACGGTAGGTATTGAACTTCAACTGAAAAGTACTCCTCAGAAACGGATGAGATTCGTGGCTAAACTGGGAAGCAGTGGAATTCCTCGAGTTTTCGGTCATTTGGACAGGTAAATGATAATGGAATAAACTGATTGTTGTGGTACAGGAACGAATCAATGCAATAAATCAAGATGTTTGTGGTGCACCAAAAGTCTGTTTGCTGTTCAGTTTTTGAGTGCGACCCTAACGATAAGTCGTCTCTGAAAGATTCGGATCACTATTCAAAAGTCGAAGTTTAAAGTAACATCTTGTGCTAGTAGCAATACTGGAATGTCGGGAGATTGTTTTTTGGCAGTGAAATGAAACGATTGAAACAAAAAGTGACGCTAAGCGAATGCAGAGAGTGAATCGTGGAATTTCGATGTGTTCGCCTAACGACTAATTGATAGCTGATGATAAATTAACAGAAATGGAATTCTAGAAACGACAGTAAACCGGTCTTGAATCTATTGCTACTGAGCGAGTAATTTTTATCATATAAACACTTTTTTTCGCATATTTCTACATTTACTCTGCAAATTTTTGTTACACTAAATAATTCATTTGTGCAGAAATTAGTCAAAATTATTTTACGACTTCAAATTCATTGTTTTGTTCATTAGTTTGTGTTCCATTATTATTTCACAGAACAACAATCTCCGTATTGTCTTCAGTATCTCGCATCCTTTCGGCATTGTGCACAGAACTGATAATTGTACGAAGAATCCACTCATAACAGCAGCAACAAAATAGATCAACTCATTGNATTGCTTCTGTGTGGCGCTCGGTGAAAGACAATTTGTAACTTTTTTAAATGTGAAGCATTCGGACGAAAGCAAACGAAAGTATATGTATCTTTGTAGATATAAACGAGTACGTCCAATCAAAAAAGTTTAAATTTTCCAGTTGGAACTGTAACTTTCTGCAATATCCTGAAGACCTCAAAACCTGAAGACCTGACGACCTCATTTTCTGCTCTTATTGATTTCTGCAGTTTCGAATCGACGCATGAACAACTCAAAATGCATGAAGATAGTAAATTCATATGTTTTGAAAAGCAACTTTCCAGCAGTTTGTAAGTTATTGTTAAGAGCTGTAATAAAACAATCAACAAAGCAATATCATTAGTAATCTTTATTAAAGGAACATTTCAGTGTGCAATGATGATGAACTAATTCGGAGACTCAAATTTATGAGGAAATTTAAGGTTATCAAGCGGATCAAAGGAATATCACATAACACAAAATCAAAATTTCACTACAATCCATGATTTTCTGCATTGCCCCACTTCAAATTCAGCTTTTCGTTTTCAGGCACTTAATCGACCCAATCGGCTATCATTATGTTAGCCTCACCAACCACCGTGCTGTTGCGATCGCTTGACCACATAATAGTTTTCTGATCTTTATCGAATCTCGGGAATGCATTGAAGTGCCCAATAATTGTAACCTGAACACGATCTCTTGAAATGATTGTTTGCCTGGCATTCATATCAGACCAGATTATGCGCCTCATTAGAATATAAAAGACTCGCGATCAGTTTGCTTCGAAGATTTCTCCAGACACAGTGCTTAACTACTTACATTCATATAATTAAGTTCATGGATATACTTATCTAAGTATTTACTTATATGAATGGCGAACTAAAAGTGAAACTTTTAAACAATTAATAATCCATTAGGTCATTAGTGTTCGTTTTTGATTCGTTTGCCTGTATCAGTAAACTGTGGTCGAATGCGACGATTAAGCAGTTGATAATGAATTCGAACGCAAAATCTACCCGTTGCAGATCTTTACCGTCTGTATCAATTGTGAATAGATCGAAATCATGACATCCTTCAATGGCGTGTGAATTCGACGAGAATATGATGCGTTTATCGCCGTTCATGAACATGGGAGTGTAGTTGACACCACCCAGATTGGTCAACTGTCGCTTATTACTTCCATCCACATCCATTATAAAGATTTCCATCGCTAAAGGCGATACTCGACCGTCACTGAACACTTAGAGATGAGCATATAATATTAGAAGCTTTCTCATTACACTGATTACCAGTTGTTGTTTGAATGGCTATTTCGATTCATTTTCATTATCGCAAAAGCATTGTTAAGTGTTTCCCGAACTGTTACGCCATTTTGATCTCTATTGATCAAACTGATTCCTGATTAATCAGCGCGTGATTAACTGATTTCTCATGAGAAGCCTTGCCATGCTTTTTTATGGGTTTTTCACTAGAAAATATATCGAAGCTTTAAAGTTATGCAATGTCATTGGTCACTTTGTAGCCGTAGGATCGGAATCATACATGTTCTGTTGGATAGAGAGTTTGGACCGTGAATTTTTTTGGCAATAGAAATTTTCATTTCTAATGTGAGCAACTATTAGCCATCAAAATGAGCAATGCATCACCTTAATAAACGTTTATAGGCTCGAATATCGTCGGCTGTTTTTGGTCTTGATGCTCTGAAGACAATTTGTTTGCCATCATGACTGAATTTTGCTCCGCCATCATACCCGAGCTCATGTGTTAACTAAAATTAGAAAAAAAATATTTTAGATCATGGAATAAAAATAAATCACTTTTCTTCGGAAAATATTATCGAAGGAAAACAACGAAATTTCCTAGAGTCTGCCAAAGTTTGTCATTGAAATTTCATAGCGAAAAAGCAATTTTACTGAAGTGCATGTAACAGCTACACAGGGAGGGCATTCTTGAACATGAATTCAAAAAATGACACCTGCTTAGCGTTACTTCCATCTGCGTTCATGATCCAAATTTCAGGATCACCACTACGCATTGACGTGAATACTATTTTTTGACCATCTGGCGAAATATCAGCTTCTGAATCATATCCCAACGTTTTGGTGAGTTTAGCAATTGCATTTCCATACTTGTTCACCTTGAAGATGTCAAACTCTGGAAAGATATCCCAAGTGAGGCCTTCTCGACCTGAAAATTTGCGAGTGATGTGAGATGATTGAATGAAAACGATATGAGAATATGAGCACTGATAGAGATGATCAGAATGCTTGTTCTCGTTAGAATTTTTGGAAATTAATTCACAATTTCGTTTCTTAAAAAATTCGACGATGTGAGTTTCTAATGAAAAGTGAATTGATGCAGTAATTTCTTCTAGAAACTCGAATGGATCAATTGAATAAGCTATGAGGCCTTCAGTTCCGTCTGACTCAATGTAATCCAAATCAGGGAGCTTCTTACAGGTGTGCTCAATTTTTGTCGCATTCTTCTCTACATCCGTCAAGCACAGTCGTCGTGGACAGCCGTGCATGGTGGTTTTCTGTTGGGTGGTTACCACTGTAGTGGCAACAAGCAAATTCTCTTGGTCGGGAAATATTGCTGGTCCGGCCGCTAAGCCCAAGCCTGAAAAACGAGACGTGAAAAAGTGATTCAGTCAATCATATCGTTGCGAGCACTTCGGTTGTGAACGAAATGCAAAACCTGGTGACATTCTTTGTGCGGTTTGTTGATCGCCTGGCTTATCGGTACGCATTTTGTAAACCTGAATGAATGACAGAGTCGGTCATATTCATCTATGCTCAATGAGAGGGCAACATGTTGAACGTTGCAAAGAATCAGCAGCAGTTGCGCAATTGAACACGTCTGATTGTTGGATTGAGAATAATCAACTTCATTACCTGTTCACAGCAAAGTCCATACTGATCAATTCCAGAGCCCAAGTAAATAAACCACTTGCCATCGGCACTAAAAGTTTTCTTTGGATTCTGTAAAATCTCAACTCTTTTCTGTGATATGTCTATGAGTGATGCAAGTAATCGAGTTCAGCTTCAAACGATTCCACTCACCTTATAACTGGATCTTCATTTTCACCGCCCCAAGTCATTTGTCGAATATTTTTTAGATGTTTCTCTCGTCGTGATTCAACTTCAGCACAAAACGATACTCTACCAAGAGTGAATAACAACGAAATAAATATCACTTTCCTCATCACCAATCAGCGTACTATCTGAAAAGCATCGGAACTGTTACAGTCATTGAATTACCTACCTGTAATCAGTCAGAAGCACTTTATAACNTTGCTTGAACGATGAATTAAGCGATGATTCTTATTGTCTTCATTGTGGTGAGGGCAAAGTTTTGCAAAAAGCAGTTGGAAGAATGGATGGATTATACAGCAGTAAAGAATAGCAGAGCCATGTTTGATCAATTGATCAACTGATTTCTGATAAAATGTTTCCTTGAATATGGGATCATTTCTTGCAGCGGAACAAGAATTTCACGGCATCAGAACGAGAATTGTGCAGGCGTGAAAGAAACGCGAAATGGAATAATTAATCTCGTCAGAGGAGTTTATAAATTAATATTGCTATAGTTCATAGCGTTGTGCTGCAAAATAAAGCGGTTGAGACGAACAAAACTGGAAATTTTTTGTGTCAGATGGTATACTAAAATGTGAAACGACACAATCTGAACAGTGTATCAAGGCGATTTTATTTACGAGAAGAGAGTAATAAATGCCTCCGAAAATGACACTTTACAGTCAATAAATAAATTACATCTGTCAACTAATCAGTGTTAATTAATATCATTTTCTTGATCGAGTACGGTCATGCTACATTCTTCCCTACCAAATATGACAGTCTGATTTCAACATAAACTTTTAGTTCCAACGGATCGTAGATTTTTGCTGTAGCATTTCAATTTCGAGTCGTCTAGGCCATGGAATGACGTTATTTGCATAATATTAACAGTACATTCCCCAGGATCAGCAAAAAATTCATCAGAATATTTCATTTCGTCTCCTTAGCTGGTGTTTTTCAGAATCAGCAACTAGCTTATCGGGTGATCAAGAGCTGATCGAAGTAAAATCCTATACTTGGTCAATGAATGTGATCTTGGTGATTCATGGAAATTGCTACAGGTCTTTGCTGAAACTGTGAGCAAAGAGTTTAGTTCAGTAATGCATAAGTACAGTAAAATTTATTTCACTTTTATAAGTCGAAAGAAGGCAACACACAGAACAAATCAAGTTTACGTAATAGAACAAATACAACAACACGACGTATTTAAGAACGTTTAATCTTGACATCAAAATAATTCTGAATCTTCAATTTCAACTGTTTCTTCAATCACTGGATCAATGAATACTTGGTCTCCTGTCTTGCGACCATCAGATGGATCAATCGCCAATCCAGTCCGCAATGAAGATATTGAACTCGCCATGAACCGTATTATTTCGACTGCTCGCCCACATTAAATGTTTTCCAGTTGCGTCAAATGTTGGATATCCGTCGAAGCCGCCCGCATTTGCGGTGATCTGAAAATTTTAAAAGCGAATGAAAATTTCACAAAGTTCACAAACTTTATCAAGCCATACAGTAAAGTGTGATGCAGTAGTTATAGGTCGAGCACGAATGAGCCGAGGCGTTCACAATTTTATTCTACTCAAATATTTTTCGAATACATCGGATTAATTAAGTTTCTCTTCGTGTGTACTGTAACTCTCAAACACTGAAATTTGAAGCCAACTCATATAACAAGTGTTTTATTAATATAACAAGTGAATAAAATTTAGACTTTTTACTGTACTATCAAAATCTTGCACCATTAAAATTACGTCAGTGATCAGTTTGAATTTTCAACAAAAAATAGCAAATAATAAGTTCAAATCAAATTTCAAAAAACCAATTTATATACCCGTTTCAAATTTTTGCCATCAACGTCAATCACATAAAGCGAAAAGTCTCCGCACTGGCGGCCAAACGACTCGAAATTCGAAGCGAACACAATTCGACGATCATCTTTCAGAAAGTATGGTGTGATTATGGCACCACCGAGCTTGGTGATCTGCTTTATATCCGATCCGTTCACGTTCATGATGTAAAGGTTCATGGTTCGAGGTGATACTAGATTATAACTAAATACATAAAGATTATATGATTAGTATTTTGTGTGTTCAGAGTTCGAATCACTCAACTGAAATGGGTAAGATATAAAATAGATCATCTATTCAGCAAAGAACGGTCAAAATTTTGGATNACCTCAGCAGTGTCTTGTACACTCGAATTTGTTTTTCAGTTTTCGGTCTCGACGCCACGAAGGCAATCTTTTGGCCATCGTGACTGAATACAGCATTACCTTCAAAACCCAATTCGTTGGTCAACTGAAATGTTTGGTCAAATTAACCATGTCGAATAATCATACTGATCGCACGAAGAAATAATTTCCGCATCATTCCATCTGATTAAGCGACGATCAATGAAAAATATACATATAAGCCAAGCGCAGATCGACCCGAACCATTTTGAACTAGGTCTTTATCATATAACAAGCATTTTTTAATATAACAGGTGAACAAACAAATATCGAAGTATTCAGAAACCTGTTTCTCATTCAATCCGGTCGCATCCATAATCCAAATTTCTGGATCGCCGCTTCGCATCGAAGTGAAAACGATTTTTTGACCGTCCGGCGATATGTCTGCATCCGCATCGTACCCCTCCTCATTGGTCAACTGAGTGAATGCATTCCCGAATCGGTTCACCTGGAATTCTAATTGTTCCATCGAGATTAGAACTATTCCTATCCAATCATCAAATGAAATGAATCATGCATCAATTTTGAATTTCTGCTTACTAAGTTCTATTAAATAATAAATCATCAAAAGTGAATTTTACTTCCGAGGCATGAGATCATAAGTTTTGATGGAGTGGAAATGGCTTACCGAAAAGATTTCATATTCTGGGAAGAGCTCCCAAGTATGTGCAGAAGTACCTGAAAATAGCTCGAAAGATCGACTTCATTCGATATGAACTTATTGAGCATATATCCTCTTCTGAATGACGAAATCAAAAAGCTTCAATTGCTTCTGTGAATGAAAACTGTTCAGGCTCTCTCATTATTCAGAGCTGATTCGATGGATTTGATAGATTTGTATTTCAGATAATTTCGTTAGCACGCATTCAAAGCAACTTACAGATATCTTTGAGAATCGGATCGGACATAATTTTATTGGAAGCACACACTTTCTGTGGACAATAGTGGATATTATCCGCGTAACGATGACTCAACGATGTGCTCGCAAATAGGATAAATTCCGTTTTTGGATCAAATTTGGGTCGAGATGCCAGTCCCATACCATTACTGATCCGATGCGCAGTCTGACTACTTGTGGGCTCTTTTAAGCTCAGTTTGTAGATCTGAAGCTTTCGAAAGATTGAGCGAAGAGTTTAACAAACATCCTGAGAGCGATTCAAAGTTTCAACCGAATACAGAAGGACGATATTGTAATATCTCCCATGCGGAAAAATCCATCACTAAACGAAACTCAAACGATTTGGAGATGTACATGTTAGAGAATGGTGATGCAGTAGATTCAGCTGATGAATTCAAATGCTCCTTCACAAATCGATTCAATTGTGGAAATGATCAAAATCTGATGTAAAAGACAAATTTCTTTCAAAAGTATATCAGCTGCACGTACCTGGGCACAACAAGTGCCATAACATGACTTTCCACCACCTTGATACAAAAAATTCTCTCCATTTTTGCTGAAACCGTGTCAATAATCAGTGGAATGCAAATAAATTCAGTTCTTTCACGACAAATCATAGGATTGTATGTATATTATGCATTCTTGAACCACTGTAAGACACTCCGAAGTTAAATGTTGCATATGTTTTTATCAATCTATATCTCGAATTCGTAAAATTTTGTCATATCAAAGATGGCGGCTANTGAAGATCAAAATAGTTCTCCAGGTTACCTCACTAGAGATTATCGTATTTTAGTTACACTTGAATTTTCGCTATCACCCAAAAACGTTTTTATTAGTTCTGGCGTTAAATTAGAAGTGTATCATCTCATTTCAGCGAGATGATATTTCTTTGTCTACTTGAACGCAGAAGTACTAACCTGAACGTAGGAGCGACATTTTCACAACCCCACGTTAACTGTTTAATATTCTTCAAGTATTTCTCCTCATTGGCCGGTAATTCTGCATTAGCTAAGCTAATGATATAGCATAAAGTTAGTGGGACAAAGTGGAAGGTCGCTTGAATCATACCGATTACACCGACAATACGGTCAAGCTGACTGGAAAAGCTGAAAACTATTTTTCAGTTGAAATATGCGAAACTAAAATCGTTTGAAGACATAGATTAAATAAGAAGGAACAAATAATAAGATTTGCAATTCTTACTAATGCAATCGCGATGACCTGACTATACTAGTACTCACAATAAGGCCTTGACACCAATTTAGAAGATTCTTTTTTAATCAACTGTGTAAATCCGGATAAACTACAGCTTGAACTGTTCAAGCTGATAAATTAAGCGCAATTAACGAACGCACTTAAAGATGCCAGGAGTAAACCTTAAACAAAACTTGAGCCATGAGAAGATTCGCTTCAGAAACACATAGATGATGAGAATGGAAAGAATGAAACATTCACCAGCCACTATTATTATTGTCATTATCAAGACAATCTTTTAAAGCATATTAAACATGAAGCATGCAGATAATAGCATAAACGGAATCAAAATTCATTATATAATGTATCATGGCATACAAGAATGCAAAGTACAAACAAAGTTACAAAGAACACTTCGTGCTAAAGTCCAGATAGAAGATTTCAATTTCATCGAAAACCCGTTCCTTTTATTGAGACACTAAAAGATACTATGAACAAACTACGACGTACCCTGCCTTACTAACTGCTACGAAGTGAAAAAAAAATAGAAGTATTCTGTGTAGAACGGCCATTAATCATCCGCTCACAAAATGGCTCTCCCTAAACGCAATTCTTGTCGATATCATTTAAAACTGATTAGAAGATGGAATGACGCACCCCGCATTAGCAATGCTATGAAGTAAGCAATATTACCTTTGAAATTTAAAAATAAAATGCCGAAAGTTTCAAAACCAGGATCGGAACCACTGCCCTCCGTGTTAAAACGCACATCACTACCACTGTGCTATAATGCACTCAGCTCTATTGTTACAAACAATNACGCACCCCGCATTAGCAATGCTATGAAGTAAGCAATATTACCTTTGAAATTTAAAAATAAAATGCCGAGAGTTTCAAAACCTGGGTCGGAACCACTGCCCTACGTGTTAAAACGCACATCACTACCACTGTGCTATAATGCACTCAGCTCTATTGTTACAAACAATGTAGACAAACGTGGATTCGGAAAAAACTACCAACTTTTCTCTTCCCTCCCCCTTTTCCAATTTCCCATGATATTGCGAAGGATGGCACAATATTCCTCCTAGGGATACACTATACAGCTTCAAAAACTCAAACCTAGACCTGAAATAAAATTCAGAAACATAATGTCAAAAATTTCAAAACCGTGGCCCGAACCCTCGCTCACAATGCGGAAACGTGGAGCACTACCACTATACCACGGCTCAACCATCAATGTAGTTTACAATGTAATAGACAAACTTGGAATCGAAAAAAAACTGCCAGCCCTCTCCTTCCCTCTATCTTTTCTAATTTTCGCATTAATACCGAAGATGGCATATTATTGTACCATAACATACACTGGAGGACTGTAAAAACCAAAAGCAAAAACCGGAATAAAATTCAAAAAAAAAACATCAAAGGTTTCAAAACCGTGGCTCAAACCTTTATTTGTCATAAGGAAACGCGGACGACTACCACTAGGCCACGGCGCATCTGTAATACCTAACAGTTATGAAATACACAAAGATGGATTCGGAAAAAACTGCCAGCCTTCCCCTCAAATCTTTTTTAATTTTTGCAATAATGTCAATGATAGTATATTATTGTACCATACGATAAACTGGTAGACTGTAAAAACCAAAAGCAAGAACCGAAATAAAATTCAGAAACAAAATAACAAAAGTTCAGGAAGCAGGCGTCGAACCTTTGCTCGTCATCCGAAAATGGAAACCACTACCACCAGGCCAGACGCACCTGCATTATTAAACTGTTATGAAATACACAAAGATGGATTTTGAAAACAATGCCATACTTCTCATCCCCCCTAATGTCTCAATTAACAAAACTACATTTAGTATGCCCTAAACATCTCTATGGAAAAATAAAACGAAAATGAATAAAATCTGACAATCTGAAGTCAAAAGTAGCTCTACTTCTCCTCTCAATCACGCAATTTCCACAAAAAAAGTGTCTTTAACAGATCTTCAACATCGAATAAGAAAACGAATGAACGAAAATGAAATAAACGTAACCATTCGATGACGGAAGCAGCGAGTGTTCGTTATGAGTAACTCGATATTACAATGATTCACCCGCCCGAGAT